CACACTCTCTCCAACATATCGGCCGGTATCTCACGAATAAATGCTTCAATATTCGCTTCCAGTGCGTCAATCGTTGCTGGTTTATCCCTGTAGACATTAGCCTTAACATGGCCCCACAAAAAATAGTCCAACGACGTTAAATCACACGATCTAGGCGGCCAATTGACGGGTCCCAAACGTGAGATAAACTGTTCACCGAACTCGCCTCTCAATAGGGCCATTGTTTCGTGTGCAGTGTGGCATGTGGCACCGTCTTGTTGAAACCACATGTCAGCCAAGTCCAGCTCTTCCAGTTTGGACAAAAAAAAGTTTGTTATCATCGCACCGTAGCGCTCGCCATTCACAGTTACTTTCCGGCCATTGTCGTCTTTGAAGAAGTACGGCCCGATGCCACCGGCCCATAATCCACACCAAACAGTGATTTTTTCAGGATGCATTGATAGCTCTTGCAATGCTTCTGGATGGTCTTCACTCCAGATGCGGCAATTTTGCTTGTTAACGTACCCATTCAACCAGAAATGAGCTTCGTCGCTGAACACAATTTTTCGATAAAAATGTGGATCTTCCTCCAACTTTTCCAGCGCCCATTCACCAAATGTGGGAGGTCGTGTGGCTTCAATTCTTGCACCAGCTGTATCTTATAAGGTTTTACACCCAAATCCTGTCGCAAAATTTTCCACGTAGTGGAGTAACAGAGGCCCAATTGCTGCGAACGGCGGCGAATCGACATTTCACGGTCATCACTAACACTGGCGGATACAGCCGCAATATTTTCTTCAGTCCTCACTCTACGTCTGCGTGTTGGTGGTTTAATGTCTAATAATGTAAATTGGGTTCGAAATTTAGTCACAAGCTTCCGAATAGCTCCCTCAGTAGGCCGACCAAATTTCCCATAAATTGGAAGCAGTGCTCGATGCACTCTCTGAACCGAGCATGAATTTTAAAAGTAAAATTCAATAATTTGCAAGCGTTGTTCGTTCGTAAGTCGATTCATGGTTAAATTATAGACCAAACTGAACAAGTTTGACAATGACATAAGACACGATTCCCGCGTCATCTGTCAAAAACAGTGTTGCCAAAAAGATACTAGCAAAAAAATCACCCATTAGTTTGATACCAGTTAACATATTTCCAGGCATCATTAAACCTATCTAGACATTCCTTTTTTGTTTTGCGTTTAATCACGAACATTGGAGCTTGATGCATGCCTAATATTATAAAAAAAAGCTAGAATTTTGGACCTCTATGCCTCAACATATCTGTGAGCTTATTGGAATGCCCAGAGTTGCATTCTCAGCCTGGCGGATTTACATCGAGTAAGATAGGATCGATATGTCGTAATGCATGACATCCTAGATTGTTATCTCATTAATTCGACGTTTCAAAAAAGTTGACCACAAATCATCAATCTCCTTCCTGCTCATTTACGGATAACCTAGGATGTTTTGTAGGGGTATTTCCGTACACTTCGCAATTAGAAGCATTCATAATTCATAGATCAATATTTTTCATATTGATGGGCTCCGGTTGCCAGTATCGGGGAAATACATGTTGTCATTCATAGCTGTCCATCTCATGCATTATGTAAAGAGAGTAATACACTTCGTCGCTTTATTAAAAATAGATACTAAGAGGGCGTTGATCGTAAAACTAATTATTGTTATTTGTGATGATGCTTATGCACTATTTTGCCTTTTGATTGGTATGATTAACAGTAAGTACGTTTGGTTGCAATGCCTCCAGAATCGATCAAAAAAAAATGTTCTAAGGTTTCTTATTTTCCGCAAATTTTCTTTTCTGTCTGACGTAGTCATAACATACGAGGGATGTCTTTTAAGTTTTGCATATGGAAATAAAACAAGCACTTATTCCACTCGTTTGCAGCCACCCTGGGATCGTCGCTAAGACCCGTCCACGTTTGAATTCATCATACCAACGGAAAATTGTCGACTGATGTGGCGCTTCGTTGCCGAAAACAGACAGTAACTCAGCAAGGCATTCTTGTTGCGATAATTGTCTCTGAAAGTTGTAATAAATTATGGCGCGAAAATGTTCTCGGTTGAGTTCCATTTTTCTAATGACTTGGTGACACTTAAAAATTCACTGTAGTGAGAACACTGCACGTATTGTTGTGAAACTTTGAATTTAGGTTTACTAAAGAGTGAGGTTAAGATTCAGTACTGACGTTCGATCCGCGCGGCCTACTATGTTTCTATATGCAAAACTTAAAAGACATCCCTCCTATACGAAGAAAATGGAAAGACTTAATTTAGTTTTGTACATCATTGTTTTGTTTTAAAGTGCTGCCACTCTGAATAAATGTGCAGTTATTAAAAGCAAATTGGAGCATTTAAATTGAGAATCGATGATGTAGGCACCGGAAGAAAAGCTCAAATCTAAGATTTCAGCTTTGCAGATGGGTAGCTAACTTTGTCTCTGACCGCAAGATATACGTCGTAATTGATGGGTTCTCCTCTTCATCCCTCAGAGTTACAGCGTGTGTTCCACAGGAATCGGTCTTGACTCTGACACTGTTTCTCTTACATATCAACGACCCCATTTCCTGTATAATTAAAAGACGACGACAAATAAGACTAGCAGCAACTTCCTCTCTGACAATCTTGTACAGTATAATGCCTCCAAAACACAGTACTGTATACTTTATCTGAAGTCACTTGAAATAGCATAAAAACCTTTGGTCGGCGCGTCCTTTGTAATTTCATGACGTATCATAGGCGTGCGGTCATTTATTTAGAACGATAATAATAATGTTTTTATATCACAATAAATGGATTTTACTATCTTCTTATTTTTTGATTTGGGATAAAAAATACTTATATTGTGAGTTTAATTTATGTTGACTGAAAGTTAAGAAATGGAAAAATTACAGAATTCCAACGTTTGACATAGGCAAATATTTACATAGCAGGTAGGTATATAAAAAGGTATATAAAGACTTACATTATAGGTATTTATATATCATCCTCGCCTTCGGAGCTGTCGCTAGAGTCATCTTGTAGAGGAATTACAACGGGATTTACAGGAGGCAAAACACAATATTCATTTTCTTTTTCAATAATATGCCTAGAACACTGCTTCCATAGGTCTGTGGCAGCAATATGAGATACTGCATCTCTTATTGTGGCCAATAGCGATTCACTTAATTGAGGGGTCTGATTATGTTTTCTTACTTTTTTTTTTAAAGCAGCCCAGACCAACTCAATCGGGTTAAAAATGCAGTAATAGGGAGGTAGACGTAATACTTCATGGCCATTTTGCTGAAGCAGATTGTCAACAACATACTCTTTTTCAAATTTTTGTCTTTTAATAAGATCCAATAATATGGCTTTGGTTGATTTTTATGGTATTTCCATTCCCTTATCCTTCATAAAATCAATAATGTCTTGTTTTTTTGTGCCTGTATTCGGAATTTTGTTTTTCTGTCGGGAATGGTATGGCGCATTGTCCATAATAATCACTGAATTTGGGGAAATGTTTGGTATTAACTTTTGCTCTATCCACTTTTCAAATAAGTCGGAGGTCATGTCCTCATGATAGTCGGCACATGATTCTTTGATATTTTTGGCAGATAACAGCAAGGAATTAGGTATAAATCCATTTTCACTGCCAGCATGGAGAATAATGATTCGTTTTCCACGGTTGCATGGTGCATTTAAAATGCACTTGTTGCTGTCGTCAACCCAGCCGTACTGCACAACATCATGGGTATCATACCACGTTTCATCCAGGTAAATCAGATTTCTTTTCTGCTCTCTATAGATTTTAACTTTGTGCAAATATTCTTGGCGCAATTCAACGATTCGAGACGACTCCATAATCACCATTCTTTTATCTAATTTTTTGTATTGAAAACCACACAGTTTTACAATACAGTGCAGTGAGTCTAAGCATTTGTAATTATAAAAATCTTCAGGATAATCTTTTAATTTATCCCGTATCATTTCCAACGTGGCCACCAAATTTTCTTTATAAAATCCGTATATTATACGACGAATATCTTCCTGAAAACCCACGTCTATTCTTTTTAATTTTTGCCCTATGCGCTTTCTGTGGAAGGAATGGTTGACTACATCTCCCCTTTTTATAACCCGATAAATGGTAGACCGACTGATTTTTGTCAGGATACAAATTCTGTTTAAAATTTGATTTTGCGAGGAATCTGGATTTTCGTTTTTCAGACAATCATACATATTTAGGATTACTCTTTGGGTCTGTTCCTCTAAATCTTTATGAAAGAATTCTGCCTGCACAGGTTCATCAACCATCTCTTCGTGGCTTGGAGCATTTTCCCAAGGTCTCCAAAGAGCCATATTTAGGACACACAAGAACAATCAACACAACAATTAAATCAACAAGTAAACGGAGTATTCAAAAGTCAAAAACACACAAACTAATAAAATCTATGAAAATACACGGACAGACTAAAGAAAACACGTTTATTCACCGCTACACGACACTGGCTAAACTGTTTCAATTTTCAGTAGCCACCTGCACTTGTTCAGAGCTCTGAAATACACGCTTTCTCATTGGCTATGTCCACGCATAGGCGTGTTTTACTCCACGTGGACCGGTGAAACTGCCTTTGATCTTATACGGGGATATTTGCTGCGAAATTTGGCGATTTTTGCAGCAACAGAGCGTGTTAAATATAGATATATAAAACGCACCCGGTATTTCAAAGTGTTTCAAGTGCCTTCAGATAAAGTATACCTTGACGAACAAAAAGCGTCCTACCGCTCATCCAGTTTTGATGGATGGCCGAGTTCTAGATCACCGAGGACTTGATGATGACCTCCTCACTCTATACAAGGCCCAGATGAGACCTGGCCTCGAGTACTGCTCACACATTTGGGGTTTTAAATACTGTTTATAGTAACGGAATATTTGACCGATTGCACACTAAATAGCTAAATTAATACCAAATTGAAAGATTTAAAAAGTTCTTCCCACTACCTGGCAAAACGTAAGTAATCACTTACCCCCTGGTCCTGTTGATTGCACTGTGCTGCTGCTGCAGCATTTGCTTGTTGCTGTTGGTGCTGTTGTTGGTGGTGGTGCTGTAGGGAGGTGCTGCCGTTGCCGCCTGGGCCGCCATACTGTTGTCCAGCATTCTGCATCAGGCACTGCTGGAACATCATCGATAGTTGAATAATCGTATTAGTACTTATTAGCACCTACATAGGTGAACGACCAAATCGGGTCCAAGACACGAACAACAAGTGGTGGACCAAAGGCTGGCTCATCGTATTATACTCGTTTATGAAATAGTGTATAAAAATTGCGAACCGTTATCTTTGCTTTCCAAACGCGGCAATAGCTAGAGCTGAATTCAAGTAGAATTCCAGATATGTCATATCTTTTTTTATATATCGAAGCAGCCGCGCAGGCAGAAGTCTAAATGCCGGAACACCGCGGCTGCTATGATGATCCAAAGAAGTTTTGTTAATACGATTTTTGAACTGCCTAAGGTTAGTAGAACTGGGAAATGCTTCCTCTTATAGATTGTTCCACAATCTCAACACCCTCGGAACAAAGGAGCGGTCGTAGCGGCCAGTTCTGGATGTACGAAGTTCGACACGGTTAGGATGGGACGCCAAAGTCTGGCAGGCACATCGCGCGGCGGCATCATGCTCTGAGTAGCAAAGCCCGTTGATGTAGCGGTAGAAAAGAGCTAGATCGCCGATGGCCCGCCGGTGTGAAAGGGTCCCGAGACTGTCTGTTAGAGAAGAGTAATCGATCAGTCCCTGGACAGTCGGGGCTAGGCCTTATCTGGGCCTTGTATAGAGTGAGAGGGTGATGCTGGGAAAAACACTTCTTAGCCCTAAACAAATAGCCTAGCTTTTTCCCAGCAGCTGCTGCTGTTGACGAGATGTATTCGTGCCAGATCAGGTCCTCGGTGATCTGGACTCCAACCAGCCGAAAGAAATGGCTCTTTGACAGAACTCGGCCATCCATCGAAACCGGATAAGCGCTAGGACGCTTTTTGTTCGTCAAAGTACAGTACTGTGTTTTGGAAGCATTGAACTGTACAACACTGTTGCGTCCCCAAGCAGTGATAGCCTGCAGGTCTCTTGTCAGAGAGGAAGTCGTCGCTAGTCTTCTTCTTTCCAGCTCAGCGGCAGAGATCGGCTTGTCACTTTAAATTCCTGCATGTAGAGTGTTGTCATCAGCGAAGCTGTGCATTGGGTTGATCGTGCAGGAAAGGAGGTCGTTGATATGTAAAAGAAACAGTGTCGAAGCCAAGACCGATCCCTGGGGAACACCCGCGTTGACGTTGTGGGATGAAGAGGATAACCTGTCAATTACGACGGATATCTTGCGGCCAGAGACAAAGTCAGTCACCCATCTGCAAAGCTTTTCTGGAAGGCCATAGGATGGAAGTTTGCTTAAGAGAGCAGCGTGCCACAGCTGATCGGACGCTTTCGTGATGTCAAGAGCAACGACATGAGCCTCACCATAAGACTGGATGAGTTTACTCCACAGTTGCGTGACGTAGGCTAGGAGGTCCCCTGTGGATCGTTGGTGCCGGAAACTATACTGCCTGTCGCTAATCAAACTGTGACTTTCGAGGTAGTCCAGAAGCTCGCGATGTATGCACCTCTTCATCACCTTACTTATAACAGAAAGCAGAGCTATAGGCCTGTAGTTGTAAGGGTCGGTCTTAGATCCTTTTTTTTTTTTGATGGGGTGGATATGAGCAAATTTCCAGTTTTCTGGGAAGGTGCCGGACTCATAAGATATTTGGAAGAGTACAATGGCAGGAATCAAGTCCGGACCATAAGCTTTGTTGATGTCGAGCGACATGAGCACTCGTCTTACGGTCTTATGCCTGAATGTTACCTCCCGCATAGTGTAGGGAACCCTTTGAATTGACGGCACCTGGGCATTGGGGGACGTCCATGGTGGAGTTGGCAGCAAATATCTTGGCTAGCACTTCCGCCTTGGCCTTTGAGTCGAATACAATAACCACGTAAATGGTGGAAGGCTACTGTGTGAGAAGTTCTTTTCAATCTAATTGGCCAGCGTCCAGAAAGTCCGACTACCGATTGCGCTGCGACATTACCCTGTGCCTAACTTCTCTATCGTGCTGGTTTTTGGCATTGCGAACCTCTTTGTTATATTTGTTTCTGGACTCGACGTCGGCTTGTCTGTTCTCTACAGTGGGGTTTTGTAAGAAGGTTCCGTGTGCCTTGATCTTCTGCGGGCGAGCAGTATCACACGATTTGTTAAACCAGCCGTTGGACCCTGGTTTAGACACTTTCACTGTGTGAGGGATGTATTCCTCCATTCCGACGTGGATAATTTCGGTTATCGAAAAACAGACAGCCGACGCATCGGCGTCAGTGAAACAGACATCTCTCCAAGGAAATGTAGAGAAGAAGTCTCTGAGCCCCTTCCAGTCGGCATGTCCGTAATGCCAAGTTTTGCGGCCTGTACGAGTTTCTGCTGCCACAGCGGTTTCTGACCGAAACCTAACCTCCACAACACCGTGGTCTGAGTTACCTAGGGGGGACAGAACAGCAGTGCTGTAAGTTGCAGGATGCGTGGTCAGAAAGAGATCCAGCAGGCTAGTAGGGCTCGTCTCCAGCTGGGTCAGCCCTTGAGTAAGAACTAACGCTTCGACTGCACGACCTGCTGCATCGGTCTTGTTTGAGCCCAACCAAAGCTCATTATGGGCATTGAAATCACCGAGAAGAACTACCTCTGAAGCGGGGTGATTGATGTTCAGGAAGTCGATCTGGACGGCGAGGTATTCGAGTAGGGCATACCAGTTATGGTTCGAGGGAGAGCGATAAAGGCAGCAGATAAATTTGGGTGATGTTTTGGAGTTGAGGCGAAGCCACAGAATGTCCTTCCGGCCTGATTCCAAAGAAACATCTCTGGAGCAGGAAAGACTGCTGCGGACAAAAGCCACAACTCCCCCGTTCTTTCTCAGATTGGAGTGCACCTCGAAGTTTGGGAAGTTAAGATGGTTAATCGGTGCAGACTCTGAGATTTTTATCTCCGCCAAGAAAAGCACGGCGGGACGATTGGATTGCAGGTAGTGATGAACAGCATCAATGTTGCTGTTAATCCCGCAGATGTTCGAAAAACAAATTTCATCTTCGATGCTGTTCATTCGAGCTCACCCTCCACCCGAACATTCCGAGAGTGGAGTGAGTTTACGTCCGGAGTTATTAGTGCTCGAGGGATCCATCATCATTAATTTCTTTGTTTTGGAAGATAACCGTCTGCATAGCTTAGGTGCGGAAACATGCGCACATTTATAAGATACCCTGGGAAAAGCTAGCTCTGTCAATGTGTGCAGTTTTGCTCCCGCGTAGTTTCAGTAAATATTGTATTGATTGCTTTAAATTATAGACAAAACTAGTGTGGAGTCATAATACGTAATGTTGTTGGGATTACTAAATCATCTTGTCGCGATTGGAAATATGTTGTTTCATTTTTGACTTTCAGTGTGTTTGCAGCAAGGCGTTCAGTAAATTAGGTTGACTCGTTCATATTTGAACTGCGTTCAAGAGCAAATTCTGCTTATTTAAGAAATGACTGGATTTGTTCTATGAAGAGTAAAAAATGGCTTCAAGTAGGTTGACTCATGCTTCATACGCCTTCGGTGGAGATTCAAAGAAAAGGGAGGAGTCAAGTCGTTTCAATCGAATCATGATTAGGAAGGTTCACTTCACAGGTACGATGAGTCTTTGACCTCCGCATATTAAACTATATAAAGCAAATCTATCATATTGATGTTTCCAAGGCGAAATATGTGTGGCTTATTGCGTTTAACAGGTACATAGTATCACTGCGATCAGCAGCTTCTTAATAACAGAACGTCTTTCACTGACACCAAATTTGCAAAAATTTACAACCATTTACCGAATACCGCTTCCAGCCTATAATTTCCATTCCCTCCAAAGAACGTCTGAAAATGAGCAGGAATATCTGTAACGTTTAACACTGTGTTCCTGCGATTTTATTTTCGCCACCTCTGAATCAGTTTTCAAGATCGACGACTACCTGAACGATGGAAGTATTAAATTCGCGATAATAGTCGGTTTACATGCTTTCTGTTGCTTAAAGAAATCTGGAACTATACACAAGTCCGTGTTTCTCATTTATGTCAAGTTTGTCGGTCCGTGTCAGTGACAACACCACCGCAGACCAGTTGGAGGTTGTTACACATTGCACAGTCGGCAGTGGCCTCCACAACGATGCAGCATCACATTGAGCACGCTTGACTTTTATACAGGGTAAATCAAAATTATGTTTCATTATCATTGTCAATCAGACCGCAATGCTTTCCTTCATCAAGAACCATATTTTCTCTGGAATCTGTTATGTTTTTCACGTCAATACGTATAGTAGTTGACATGAAGCAAAAGAACATTTTACCACCAATTTTACTTCCACCCCCGTGCGAATTCAAAAAGTTCCTCATTAAATTGTACAAAAATTTATTGCCATTCTGCGTTAGGTTTACATTTTGATATATCGCCTTTGATTTCTACCGCTTGCCGGAAAAGCAATCAAATTCTGTAAAAAAGAAAAAAGTTATGACGTTACGAATTTGACCAACATTTTGCTTGTTGCGTTTATGTAGTACCTGAATGTATATACGTAAATTTAAATAGCCTTTTATGTTCATTTGAAGTCCAATGTTTATTATAGAAGAAAAGGTACCTAGATAGGAGATCAAATACGTATTTTTCAGAAAAATCTACAGGTACAGTAATTCTTCAATAGTTTACCTTGCTAAATATTAAAACAATATAATATCAATAAAAACCATATATTTGAAATTTCATACCCATTCGAACAAACAATACCTAGTATTGCACTGATTCATGGTACGGACATTTGTAAAATTACAAATGTTAAAATCTCAACAAGCTCATATCTTAATCAACTGTATTATCATGATGACCGTGCACATGCTACAATGAAGGACGTACATTTATAATTCTTTCATAAATGCAACCATGTTTTTCAACTATATTTGTAAAAATATTACTTAAAGTTCATTGCAATTTTGGCCGATGAGCTGACTATTCCTATTCTGAAGACTTAACCAAGTGTAGTTATCAATCAGTCACAACTTCTCCAATGTTTGTAATCGCAGAAGTTACAAAAAATGGCGTCAAGTAGGTTGACTCTGCACTTCTTACGCAACGCCGACATCAGTTCATAAAGGATTAAATTCAGTGCAATTTAACTCCTCTAG